GTGTGTGTGTGTGTGTGTGTGTGTGTGTGTGTGTGTGTGTGTGTGTGTGTGTGTTTGAACACACCATTATCCTGGATAATGTATATATCCTATGAGGATTTCTGACAAATCCCCCCCCAAAATTGTTCAAATTTAAAACGTCACACTTCATCAAGTTAAAAAAAAAATCAAAAACTAACTTCATAACAACAAATATTAGGATTAAAGTGAATATGAGCCTAAAAATCCTTATAATTATGAAAGCTTAAACCTATATTAACCATTTAAAAAAATGCTGATGCAGCTTTTTCCTGGTTCAGAGTTGAATTGATTTCAGAGTAAATATTTTCCCATAATTCTTCACTTCTTCTTTGAGCCTTGCAGTTTTTATTTTCCCAGAGCTGAAATTACAAGCCTAAAAGAGGGCTGGATGTAACATGTATCTACTTTATTATTTTTAATTAGCTCACATGATGTTAAAAAATATTAAAACTAATGAGAGATTGTTTTACGGAAGGACCTTTTTTAAAACTTTGGCATTAAATTTTGTCATTAAAACCTTTTTTGTGTGTGTGTGCAGTTTACAAGTTGACAAGTTTAAACTCAAAGTGCATCTTATGAGAAATTATTATTTAAGTTCTTCCTGTCTGACGGTCAGAATTGTCAGTTTTTATTATTTTATGTTCCTACTGTTTTCTGGGCTGTAATTCACCCGAGGCTCAACAATATGCTGATGGACGGCCTCTGAAGGGGAGCTTGGCTGACCTTCAGGAACACAAGCTCTTCTGGGCAGCTTGTAAAGGAAGACAAAAATTAGCATAATTAGCTGCTAATGATATGATAATGAAGGTTTGTCAGCTTGTTATTTTTTAGACAACCATAAATGTTTTCAAATAATTATTTATCTCAGTCAAATAACATTTTTTTTGCCTTGAGTGCTTTGAATCTGCTTTCCTTTTGTATCTGAAAAAGAACTTGAGGTTGGGAGTTGTTTTATAGCTGCTCAGCTGCTCCACCACATACCACAGACAGACGGGCGGGCCGGCCCGGTCCCAGTCAGGGGTGGGTGGGCGTCCAGGAATGGTCGGTTTAAGGTGGAGTCGGTGGGATCGGAGTGGGGGATTCGTGCGTCATCATTAGACTTTAAACCCTCGAAAACAGAAACCTCGTCCTGCAGTCAGTCAAAACGTTTTGCAGGTCCATGTGCCGACATCTAAACTTTRTTTGGTTTGGTTTTAAAGAGACACAAACAAACCGCAGCCATTAGAGCGACAGGAGCCAGACTGGCCCATTTTCTCCTGCGTCTCCCCGATGATTCCCAGAAAAGAGCAAACAACATCAATATTTCAGCACTCGTATCATGCAGGCAGCTATAACTTCCATTAATCAGGCTCATCACAAGATTTTATTTTTTACACCAAGGGGAGCTGAAACTTAAACATTCAGATTAAATATCCAGATTACTGGTGGATTAATGTATCAGTCAGATTACTTGGAATGATGCATCAAGTTTGTTTTAATTTGATCTTATCTGGATTCGATCACAGCTGAAATGTCAGCCTTTTAGCTCTCAGTGAGTCAGCAGGGTGTTGATGGTGATGATGATGAGTTCCTTCCTCTTCTTTTTATTTTTATTTTTTTGGTGAAGGGGGGGGGGGGGTACAGATCAGGCGAATGCTGCAAATGTCCACTCTCTGCAGATACGCTCTGAACACAAATTCAAAGACCCATTTTATTGTTAATATTTTACTTTTTCTCTTTATTTATATTGATGCATGCATATTGCAACTTATTTTGCAACTTTGTTTTACATTCTGACTGAACCACAGGGTTTATTTAGCTGCAGAATATCTCTGAAAATACAGATTTTTGTAGTTTTAAAGTGCTTCAAATGACAGCATCTTTGTTCTGCTTTCACAGTTAGGGGCTGTCTGAATCGAAAGGGGGAAAAAAAGGATTGTTTGGCTGTCCTTAAAGATGACTCAGCAAGCTTGAACTTCTTCAGAGATTGAGTTTGTGTTTTATTGTTGATGTAATTTTGGGTTTTCTTTGAATTTTGTTGAAAAAAGCTAAATTAGAGAGGAAAATGTTGTTAAATGTCCTGGAAGAATCTTAAAAATTTCCCGTTAAAATGATTGAAATGTGCTTAAATTGGACTTTAAAGTGCCTGTTACATTCATGTCATTCAAATACAGTCAAAGAAAACATCTTTATATTTAAGAAACTTGGCATAATACACAATTTTACTCATTTTCTCACATAAATGGCATATTTTCTTTGGAACTATGGCTCAGCCAAAGCGAAACAGGAAGTGACATCAAAGGGGAACCTTTTAATAAACAGGACTCTCTGGTCTTTGTTTTTTGAAACAATATTATTTAAACTCTGACTCTTCTTCAACTCTCTGATAGTGACTGAAAATAATCTAAAGATATTAGGTTMTTCTCCACAGTCTGTGTTGKTAGCTGTTGTAGTAATGCTCTGTTTACCCGTTTGACATCACTTCCTGTTACTTCACATGCAAAAATCTCAGCAACTGTTCATCTCAGTGACGTGAAATTTATTTTGTAATATGTTGYCAACATTTTGTTTCCAAAAAATGCATTCATATTTGTTACAAAAATTTGATGTCACAGGCACTGTAAGGGAGGTGTAAAGATGGTGACGATCTAAACGCATTGAGATTGATTAGTTTAGCCTTTCCTGTTGGCGTTGGATGACTTTCTGCTCGTTTCTGCTCAGGTGGACGAGATGTACGAAGCTTTCTGCATCCAGAGCCGTCTGAGGGATGGAGCCAGCCGGATGAAGCAGGCCTTCTCCTCCTCTCCCTCCACTAAAGGCACCAAAGAGAGCATCGCAGAGGTCAACCGCCGCTACAAAGAATATACTGAGGTATTGTTAGCTCTCATTGTAGCCACAAAAGAGATTAGTCTAAATTATCTTAGATTTAATAAAATAAGCTTGTGTTGCATAATATCACATTTATAGTTAACTTGTGAGCAAATAACTGTTTACATGTCACATCCATGATATAATACTAAATGACAGTTTACCCTCATTTGTAAAGCCGTCTATAGTGGGACCTTATAATCCCAGCAGCTGTATCGTCGCCTGTCTTTAAAGGCTCACAGCAGCCTCCCTGTCTGCGTCCTCTCTGAGGGTGTTTGTGTGACCAGTTTCTTCTCTTATTGTTCAGAACATGAGCACGTTTGAGAGCGAGCTGGAGAATCTGCTCGGGGAGTTTCACATCAAGATGAAAGGTGAGACCTCGGGTCGTAACTCGGACCAAAGGTTTATTCTGACGTCTTTTGTGTGGAGAAAATTAAAATAGTTTGGAGAAATATCTGTCCTCCAAGACTTTTTTCACTGTTCTGGTTATTAAAACAGACTTTTTTCAGATTTCTTGATTGTGTTTTTAAGTTTAATTTATAAAAATATGAGCAAAGTTTGAGTTTACATTGTTTTATGTTGCAGGTGCTGTTTGTTGGTCACAAATTAGTGCAGTTGATTTACTGCGTTTTCTCTTTTACTCCAAGTTAGAAAATATTTTCACAAAATTAATCTTATATTGTACTGAATATAAAGTCATTACTTAAACATTAAAAAGGTGGAAAATTTTTGATTCAAAAGTGTAATTTCTTGGTATTAATAATAGAAAGAATTAAAGCAGTAACTCTGGTCATCTTTATTTATGAATTTTTGTTTTTCCTAACAGGATTGGCAGGATTTGCTAGACTCTGTCCTGGAGACCAATATGAG